GATTTGTGAATTATTAAGTAATCAATAAATTTTTTCTTATCAGAAAAGTTTGTATTTTATTTGTAATTAAGTTGTGGTTTGTTTTTATTGAGCGCACCGGAGGTTCAGTGCCTCAGCCCTTAAAGAGCCCCTTAAGTGGTGTTCAATTTCATCGAGTTTTAAGTTAACAATAACTAAGTTTTATATATATTTACAGATGATATAAATTATAAAAAGTTATAGTTTAGTAATAATTAGTTTAAATTAGAAAATAATTTCTCATTTATATATAAACTATTAAAAACTAAAAGTTAATTAAATAATAATTTTAAAAAAAACAGAGTATATAAATAGTCAATTAGTTATTGGATTGTTTTGATAGTAATTTCAATAGTATTTACAATTTATATTAACAATTGTCTTAAAACTATTAGCGAAACTATAATGTAATGTTAATTGTAATCAATGAATGAGAGAAAGACTAGAAGAGTAGTTGCATTTGTATTGTCCGATCACTGGATCGGACCACCCATTGGTTGAGTGAAGGAGAGGCGATGGCTGTCCCGAAGACATCTCCTATAGGTTGATATGGCTCTGGATATAAGGCATAAATTTTACAATTAAAATCAATTTTCATTTTAATCGCCAATTGATGCCACTCTCACATGAGATGACAGTTTAGGACTCGGCTGTAGTGTTGTGGTGATGGTTGTGGCGGTGGACGTGTCATCGCTACCGCAGCCGCTGTCACCGCCGCCACCGTTGCAATCGCCGCCTCCGCCGTCGCACGTCTTATTGTCAATGGTGTCCACCGTTACGGTCGTCTCAACGGACTGTTTGGACTTTTTATTGCCTTTGCCTTTAAGTTTGGTGACAATGAAGTGTCCGCCCGACTGTTGCTTCTTCGCCAGATTCACGAACAACTGGTTGGAAATAAGAGATAATACAATTAGACCACAAGAGTTAAGACAATGGATCAAATGCTAATCGCTATTACATTATCCAAAGTGTTCTGACAGACGGTGTACTCAGTAATGCCGGACTTTTCCAACTTTTCAAATATCTCTGCGAGACTAATGGATCCGACGGTACCGGCGCTGGCGCTACACTGGCTACTACTGGCCGTACTGTCCGTATCGGTACTGTTGGTCAGCGAGCCGTTGTTGCCCTGATTGTAGCGAATCTCGAACTGAAGAATCGAGTGGTTGTTCTCGCGTAGGACAGCGTTGGGCAGATTCTTAGCGAACCAATTAATCATATACGAAGCCGAGACGTGTGGTCCGCATCGGGCGATGATGTGATAGCCGTCGCCGAACCGGTTCTTCAGGTGCTGTATAGAGCCGAGACATGTGAACCGGCCGTTCACCAGAATGGCCACTCGCGAGCACAACGCCTCGCACTCCTCCATACTGTATGGATAAGACATATACATTGTGTTAACCCATAGGGTAGGGACTGGTAGTTAGAATTGTCGTTCACATACCTGTGCGATGTGAGTACGATCGAGATCTTATCGTTATGGACCAGCTCTAGGATCAGATCCCATAGGAATCGTCGGGTATAGGGATCCATACCGGTGGTCGGTTCGTCCTATCGAAAGCAAACGTTACAATTAATTTCACTTAACAAACATATCAGTGAAAATTGTGGCCACTTTTAGGCCGAGACCTACCATAAACACTATGGGCGGCGCCGATATCAACGCTATGGCTGCGGACAGTTTGCGTTTAGTGCCGCCGCTATAATCTCTGGCCAGTTTGTCCGCGTGTTCGGTCAACTGCACTCGTTTGATGACCGTTTCGATGGCCAACTCTTCCTCTTTGACGCCACGGAGTCGGGCGTAAAACTTGAGGTGTTCTCTGGCTGTCAGCTCATCGAAAAGGGCGTCAAACTGCGGACAGTAACCGATGTTCGCTTGGGCTCGATGTAGGTCTTCGCGGACAGAGTAGTGATTAATGATGGCATCGCCCGCCGATATGGGTATATCGCCGGTCAGCATCTTAAAGGTGGTCGACTTCCCCGCCCCGTTCACACCCAACAGACCGAAACACTCGCCCCGCGTCACGTCCAGACACAGCCGATTCACAGCGAGATGTTTTTGCGGCTTTTTGAACACTTTGGTCAACTCCTTCAGTCGCAATACATTGTCGCTGTCGTTGTCGGTGGACAACACCCGCAGCCGTTCCTGAGCCACGTCTTCGTCTTCGCCCGACGGGTCTGACGTGCGGTACGGGTTGTCCGGCGTTCGGCGCCGAAGACCCAGCAGTTGAAACAGATTGTACTCACATAACAGTGTGATCAGGAAGAAGGCGAACCCCGAGCACAGCATCGCCACCAGATTACGGGTCACCAGTTCCCACGCGAACGGCGACCGCATCTTCGAGTACTCCCCTATTATATAAGGTTTTGAGTTAAATATAAACCTCTTTTCTCACATACAATACCCCCTATCCATCTGACCCTCAATACCCCCCGATCCCTGACCCTCTATACCCCACACATACCTGTCTTCGAGTAGATGTAGTTCTGGTATTCGTTGAACGCTATGTCCATAAGACCTCTGCCGAGACAATAGTTGGGAAACATTAAGAAAACCACTTTCAGTATGCGATGGATGTACGCCAATATCTGGAGAAATGAAACCAAACAAATCAAAGAATGAATCAATTGATGAATCGCTTGGACTCTCGCGATGACTGACCGGAACGTAAACACTGGACGAGAAGAGAAAGGCCTCCAATAGGAAAGATGTGACAATACAAGTGATGCCCACAAACAGATTGATGACAATGAGGCAGATATAGGCAGTGGAGGGCTCTTCGAAGAGGAACGACACCGGATACATGACCGGAGTCACTGACCACCCGTACATCAGGAACAGTGAGACCACCGCCGGGAAGTTGTTGGCCGACGTATAGGCAGGTATGTCGAAGATCAACAGAATCAGTATACAACACATGGCCGGCACCACATACGAGCACTGTTGGGGCGAACAACACAATATCAAATAATTAGTCTTAATTTATACTTTAGAGAGAGAGAGAGAGAGAGAGAGAGAGAGAGAGAACATTTAATTTAAAAATAGAATTTTTATAATTATAAGTCATTTATAATGTCTTTCAAAAATAATTAAAAAGACATTAAAAATCAATACAATGAATGAATGCGAGAGAGAGAGAGAGAGAGAGAGAGAGCTCGCATACCATATCCCAGAAATAGTTGGCCGTCCAGTAGATAATGACATTAACGCCGGACACGAACTGCAAGTGCTTGGCTTTGGTGAAGCGCTCGTAGACCAGGAAGAGGACAAAGGAGGCGGGAACGAAACTCATGGCCACAATGATGAATATGGCGATCAACACATCTGTGCCCTGAAGTATCGTCTCCTGTGACACCTGATAGGAGGTGTCGGCCATCGGGTGATTGATAAGTGTTATACCATAGGCGCCGGGATTGCCGCGGGTTTTGTTCAACGACTGGCGCAACAGAGCGTTGTTCATCGCATTGAGATATGTGGGCATCGCGTGGTATCCCTTGTTATTGAACCACACTTTGGATATATTGCGGACGGCTATCTGCCGAAGAATACGCTCCTGTTGTTGATCCATATGCTGGGCGTACTTCTCGGGGATATACGCGCGATGCAGACCGAAAGTGAAGCCCCCGTATCGGCGCAGTCGATACATGTCGGTTGTGGTGATGTAGTAGAGGTGCTCCCGATCGCCGCGACCGACACCCGTCACGTCGATGAGTATATCACCGGTGATCAGTTTGAATGAGGGGGGCATTTGAAAGCCCGTGGCGTCGCATATATAGCCGGTGCCGTCGGCCGCGCACTGACAGTACGGATAATAGTCAAAGTAGTGGGGCGTCGGTGTCGGCGCTGTTGTGGTCAAGTTGTCTGAGTACATGTGTAGTGGGCTATGGGTTGTGGTGACGGTGGGCGACCGACTGGTGGGCGCCACCGGCAAAAATATGCGGGGCTTAACGCCGGGCAACAGCACTGAAGTGCAGCCGTCGTTCAGTTTGAGGTACTCCGAGATGAGATCGTAATCGCTTAGTTGGGTGTAATTGTGAGCGAATCCCGGGTCCGACAACTTGAGCAGACACGTGGCGCCCACACCCGACGGCAAGTGGAATGTGTCAGATATGTTGTCCGACTGGTGCGGGTGTTTGGGATCCCAATCCCTCTCGTCGTAGGGCATAACAGTGCCGCCCAAGTGTTGGGTGTAGTTGTAGTAGTGGGCGGGCGACAGGACCAGCGCCGGCAGATCTTGCGATTTGGGCGCTATTAAGGCCACACTCATCGCCACGCAGACGAAGAACGCCGGCAACAGTATCTGCGAGAACAGGCCCTTCCAGTTCCTCTTCGTACAGCACCACCGCTTGAACAGAATGGCCGAGAATTGGTTCATCAGTAGCCGCCGTTTGCACTCCACTTTCGCGGTCGGCATTTTCATGTACTCCCGGTTCTCCACTTTGAAGCCCGAGTCGTAATGAATGGCCGACGGGTGAGAGTTGACAGCCGCCGAAGAAGCTGCGGCCGCGGCGGCACTCGTCGACGGTTTGTCCCACGAATGCGTCCGTTTGTGGTTCTGTTGAAACGTTGTCTTCAATACATTGAAGTTCCAATTGGACGCCACTTTGAGGAATATCTCTTCCAGAGTAGTGTTCTTAAGGCCAAACGTCTGGACGTTGAGAGCGCACAGATTGCGGTGATTCTCGAGCGCCGAGAAGAGGCGGACAAAGTTCTTGAGCTCAACGTTAGGCAGAATGAAGTGAATCTCTTCGCGGGTCTCGAAGAGGTATTTACTGGTCGGCGCGTACTTCTGGACAAATGCTTGCACTTCGAGCGATGGCGGATCGGCTGAGCCACCCGTGTGATGGGTCCGGTAGTCGGGTGTCTTCACGAATATCAAGTGATAGCCTTCGCCTAAGTTGTGCTTCAGAAACAGCGGACTCCCGCAGCACTTGATCTGCCCGTTGGACAGTATGGCTATGCGATCGGACAACACGTCCGCCTCGTCCATGTGATGAGTGGACAGTAGTATCGTTCGGGTGCTCTTGTACTTGAGTATTAAGTCCCAAATGGCACGTCGGGTATACGGGTCGACACCGGCGGTCGGCTCGTCCAGAATCA